CTGTTATTGCCTGGGCAGGTTGATATATACCTCACCAGGTAATAAGGTCTGGGATTGCAGAAGGCTTGTGATTGATGACTCAAAAATCCGATTTAGCTCAATTCAGTTCTATTCAGGAAAGAAGTTACAGATACCTAAACTACTCTTGCATTGTGGAAAGCACCACAAAGTGGAAGAGACCCTCAAGATATGAGCAAACTACTTTTTTGTAGTCAAGACACATAGCAAGTCATTGTTCTGTACTAACCTGAGAAAGGCGAGTGTATTTTTTAATACAGACTGTTCAGACTCAACTTTAGAGATAGAAAGCCTTTAGGATTTATAGTCAAGTCCTCTACCTTACAGATGAGAAACTACCATCCAAAAAGTTTATTTTTATAAATATATTTTGAACATTTATTTCAGATATTACTTAGATGCAAGATTATATGCCTCTTTAAGCCAGTCCAGTACTTACCACATACATTTCCTAGAGAAATTCTGTGTGTGAATGAATGAATGAATATGTTAGGTAGTTAGAATAGGAAAAAGGAGTCCAAAATGACAGTGGATAAAAGACAAAGAAGGGAGAAGCATGAAAATGGAACAAAGGAAGGTCCAAGGATGGGAGTGAGAACCTCGGGTGAAACACACAGCCCTCCTGGCTAGCCCAGTTTACATAGGGCAGGCTCAGGGGGAGGAGAAAAAAACATATAAAAAGAGGAGCCAAAATCTCTCTTTATTTGGCTGACCTGCCCTCACACCTTGAGGATGTATTTTCCTTTGCCTGCCAAATAAAACTGAGCAGTAACTGAGCTGTAACACTGGTCCACCATTTCAAATTTTTTCTGCAGTGAGACAGAACCGAGGAAATTACACACTCCCCCGACAAATAAATTCAAAGACTTGCCCAGGGTCACAAATCAGTAATTAGAGGAACTACAACTTAAAGTTCCATCCCTGACTTCCTACCAAGTACTCCCAGGTGAGACCAGAACATGCATAAAAATAGCTAGGAAAATTCCAGCCAGTGTCCTATATCAACTCCCACAAGATTGATTTAAGTCTATCCAAGTAGAACAGATGCTCCTGACTGATGTTCAACTCTTCCACGATGTGTCTAGATCAGTTCTCTCCTGACAATGATAATGGCCCTACAGATGTCTTATATGAAGACCCTCCACCTCATTAACTCCTTGAGCAATTTATGTTACATTTCCTCTTTGTTGAAAAGTCAAGGTACACAGAAGCCTTGGAACCAGACATTACCAAGCAGCCAATACAAAGTGGTGTACAATAGATTAATGAATGAAATACTAAGTATCAAAAATCCATTTCCATGCAGATTTCCCTTCTATGTATAGACACCAATGTAGTTACCAATCATGAAGATCACTTGATATGTAGACCTTTCAGACACCATTCACCCTTCTAAACACAGATTCCTCATTTGAACTGCAAAACACAGAATATTATTTGAGTGATTCTCCTCTCAGTTCTGTCAAGGGTGCTATATAACATGTATTCTTAGGAGAGAAAATGATCTGTTATATGCAATCAATACTGCAGAACATTAGAGTTTGATTCTCCCAGGAAACACTGGCTGAGAAATGTGCTTGAGTAATCTGTATACCTACAGGTCACAGTTGTTCTTGCTATGCACACATGTACATGCCCATACACACATGTTTCCAAAAAATCCTCTTTTTATGAGCTCTTAACAATAAAAATGGATGCATTACCTCCAGAATTTTGTCAGAGGGAAAAATTCATTTGTACTCATGTGCTACAAAGTCATTGTTTTTTTCTATTTGAAAAACATAACAGGAAGATCAGCATATCTTTTGTAGATATGCAAATTGTAAGTTGAACAAAAATAGACTGCTGGTATGTTTGCTATGAGGAATATTAAGTAGATTTTGTAGAAAAGTTGGACCCAAGTGCATTCCTCTGAAGTATTTGGGAAGTTATTTCCAACTCTTCATTTAATCAGCAAACGTTTCCAGAATATCACCATCTTAAATGACCTACGAGGACATAAAAAGAAAAAAAAACTTGTATATTTTAAGCAACTGATTACTAATTTGTTTTCTTTACTTATATTGATTAGCTTAAATACTTGTGTTAAACAGAAGTCAATGATTTGTCTCCCATCATTTCATTTTGGTCACTAGTTTGCAATTGGAAAATCAATTTATAGTTGGTAAAATAAAGCCCGACTTGACAGGGAATTCACATTTGTGTATTGCCTGAAAAATCTACCAGGCATGGTGACAGTTACTTACAGAAACTGTACTTGCCAGTTATACTATGATCTCATCTAATCCCCATGAGGTTAGCAGTTTTATCATTTCCCTTTTACAGATTAAAAATGTGAGACTCATATTCACACATTGTTGACAGAACTGGGATTCAAAGAGATTTTGATGCCCCCAACGTTCATGATTGTTCTAGGAGTCAACATACCTTCCTCCAGTGATGACTAGAAAATAATTTAGGACATTTAACTTATTTTTTTGGATTTATATCCTCTATTATTCAGCAGAAAAAAAAATCTGCCAAAATATAACCACTTTTAAGTTATCTTAACGTAAGATTCAAAGAAATGGGAGCAGTAAAATGAAGAAATTAAAATTCACTAGTGACACTGTAAACTTGACCCTCCTATCATAACTAATTCAGATGTTTAGTATTTCCAAAGAGCTGATGCACCATGTTTCACAAGAAAAGAAAGTAAAAACTCTGAAGACTGAAGTACCAATGTCCTTGGAATTTTGTGGTAGGGAAAAGAGATATATAGAATATAGTCAGATGATTTAATTATGTTCTTTTAATCTCAGATCATGGTAATTATGTCAGGTTGGCCCGGAAGCATTTTCACTCATTTATTCATTTGAAAATGTCAGTTTCACTTATGGTCTTTAATTAGGTTCCCAAGAATTAGAAAACATGCCCCGTATCTCAGCTAGAACAAGTGTCTAGGGTTCATCATCATTAACCTCTAGAACTATATGCCCCTCACAGAACTGCTTTGGGGTTCCGTCTTTCTTGGCATGGAGCCTTGGGGAACTGCTGTTAGGAAAGAGACAACAGTAACCTAAAGCGTTTTCTTTTGTCCAAAAGTACAACGCATAGGCACTTTAAGAATAGGAGAAAGTCTTTCTGCTAAGTCTTTTTCAACAAAGCATTAATATTTATTAACTTGCACTCCGAAGTAGAATGAATGTTTTATGATCAAAAACAAGTAACAACAAAATGGAAATTTTAACCACAAGCGACCTACTCTTCCAGTGATAAAGAACTCAGGATGGGGTTAGCCAACCACTCTCTCTGTAGTTCAGGGGTGAGGGGTCTCTCATTCACTCATCTAGACAAAAGAGTAATTGAATACTGCTCCATGTGATTACTGGAAGCAATAATCACAAATTTATGGCTTCCTTTATCAATGAGAGTCAATAAGAATGAAGCCATGAATTAATGTTATATTATGCTATATTAACAAATAAAGACATATTTAAAAGGACTGAAGGATATTTCAAAGCTCAGAATTACCCATTTTAAATTTAGATTAGATCAATTCCCAAACAATTCAGATAAGAGAGAGTTTTTAATTTTCAACTTTGAATAAATGCATGTCTGTCTCAAGTTTTATTTAAATTAATTCATTCACTATTCATTGAGTAGATTCTGTTTGCCAGGCACATAGAAATGTGGGGTTTTGAATCAGCATCAAGGTGTAAGATATGACTTTTATGAGATCTTTTCTACTAACACTGTCTTTATTAAATCACTTTGTAATTCCTTTATCAAACTACTCAATCTTACTACAGCTTTTCCTGATGAGTTATTTCATACCAAATATGAACAAGAGCATCTCAACTCTATAATTAATGTATACACTGCATAAAGACACAGAAATAAAAGCCCCTTCACATTTGTTTCTGTCTCGTCAATTTCAGTGATTCAGTACAGAGATAACAGTATGGAGATTGTGTAATAATGAGTTTGTTGAATGTTCCTTTTCATAGTCTTGAGTGAAGTTTTTGCCTAAATATTCTAATACATCATTTTGTTTCCATTGTGTCTGAACAGTTTGGGAAAGGGGAATGAATAACCATGGATTTTGGAATCAGGCAGACCTGGATGTGAATTCTGGTTCAGTGTAGTAAACTCTTATAAAACCTATGCCATCTCCATCTCTGTTTCCTCATATACACAAAAAACATAACAGCATCTACCTTGCATGATTGTTTCAAGGAGGATAGATAATGTATAAAGCAACTAGCTCACAATAGGTTTGTTTTTCTTTTTAGATCAAGTCTGAAAGACCATACTAAGCATTGTTCTGTTTTAGGTAGTATAATTTACCATGAAATTAAGATAATACAACCAAAAAATACAACAGAGATGAACATTTTAAGCCTGATTCATATTCATCTCATGGGACAGTTATTTTTACATTCAGCGTTTCCACTGAAGGTATCTAGTAAGAACAGTGTGTAGAATTTTAAATAATAGACCTTCAGATTGCTGAATGAGAGCAGTCACTCCTACTTAATTCCCACCCTCCATCCCTAACCCTGCACTGTACTCCCAAATCATGACTGCTCTTCTGTGCCTGTTAGAGTGTGGACATGATAGAGAGAAGAAACATGGAAACAAAATAAACCTAAAAATTATTTTTGGTTCATCAGCATATATAAACAATCAACTTCAAAATGAAACAGACATTCACATGCCAGTTTTTGAGGACAATAAAATCACAAATTCTTCTTTCTGTATAAATCCAAAAATTAAATAAATACATAATCCTTTAATCATAATCATGCTTTGAATAGAACATTTACTATAAACCTTGCTTCTACCTGAAACAATATTAAGAAGAGGATATAGACTGTTCTTTCACTGTCCCAAAGAATTTATTTCACTTCTCTCTCTCTCTTTCCTGTCTGTCTGATTCTCCTTTTCATATTTAGTACTCTTTTCTCTGACTTCCACCCCTTCCTTTTGAAATTCTACAGGTTGTCCGGCCATATCAGACCATGTCCAATCCCATGAGCAAGCTCACTGTTCTCAACAGTATGCATTCCCACTTCATTCTGGCCGACAATGGGACCACTGGAAAGTATGGAGCAGAGGTGAAACTTAGGAGACAACTGGAAAAGCATATTTCACTCCAGAAGATAAACACAAGTAAGTCTACCGCTGTCTACTCATGCCTCAGAGCAAGTAGGATGAAAGTGAGGAAATTCCAAATGCAGACCATTATTTCTACATGGCTAATGGTTAGAATTAGAGGAAGTCACCTAGAGGGGGATAACTGGAGGCTCAAGAAGCGATTACACAATTAGTGAACTCAAGCTCATTCATTATGTATGAAAAATCCAACCCCGTCTGGAGTTTATAAATGCAAATAAGCCTTTCTTTCCAAACTTTTTTCTACATCCTTTACACAATGCTCTAAGGAGGAAAAGCACCCTGGAGAAATTTTTTCCACTTATTAAGCTATTTGGGGTAGCTATAAGAAAGAAAACAGTTTTTGATCTTAGCATAGATTTGGCTGTGCAAAGGCATTTCAAGGGAACTGACATTCTATGTCTAACCATCTTGATGAAACTTTAATTGTGTCTCTGAATTTTATGTATGTATTCATTCGCTGTCTCTAGATACCTACATATTTAGATATACGTGTGTATTTATGGGAACCATGTAATACTTAGCCTGTGGTTACACTAAAATTATCTCAAGTACTTATGTGTTCTATTCAATATTTATTATGTACCCATTTAACTATAGAAGGTAGCATTGTAAAAACAGTGATGCTCCTGAAATCACTCAATGGCTTGCATTTAAATATAATAGAGATATATAAACAATCCACTGTCCTTCCTCACAAAATAAAATTCAGTTTGTTTTCACAAAGTAACACATGGCTTCATGGCAGATTTAGGCTTTGTGGTAACTGTGTGTTCTATCAGGGAAACTTGGCTTTAATTGATTGAACTTTCAAAGCCTGCAGTTCCAAATAATAAAAGATTTTCTTTGGCTCAGTAAGTTTTCAGAAGTTCAGTGTAACACAATTCAACATGTCCAAATGGCTTTTCTCATCTCTTGTCTTTTCTCTGCATCATCCAGAATGGATTGCGCTTGCTGTCGCCACCTTCCTCCCAGAACTGGGATGCCAGACCTGTCAGACCATAACTTGTCTTTCCTATATTCTGTTTTCTGGTTCCACCTTTTAGAAGCCACTACTGTTTCAACAGTCAGGTTTCATACCTTCATCTTTTTCACAGAGAAGTCTGGAATAATAAATTGTGATGTAGGCCTGAAGTCAAAATTATATTAGAAAACTCGCTTCTATCTAAGAAACTTCAATAGTCTTTGGAAAGAGAAAACACAGGATTACCAAACGAGGATTGGTTTGGTACACAGGATTACTATTTTTACGGGAAAAAATAGTAGAAAAGACTAGAAAATCCACTCAGAAACCAGCAGAGATCAAAAGTAAAAAAGCACTATTGCCAATGGGTAGTTGTTATACTGAAACTGAATTTTATTCTAATATTTGATAGAAAAGCAAATCTTATCTAATTAATGTTATCTATTTAGGTTTTCATAGTCTATAGGATTCCTTTTCTTTTTGTGAACCAGCAGGTTAAGAAGGAGCCTAAATAGGAGTAACCTGAAAGCTGAAGGAGATGGAAGCAAGGTAGACAAAGAGCAAATGCAGGGTCAAGTTCAGTGCTTAGTAATGAGACCAAATTTGTCCAGGCACGCAAAGCATGCCATTGTGTCAGGTCCTGAAGGCAGCTGGGCCAGATATATTCATTAGTGTTGTGAAGAGAGCTAGGCGTGTACTTGTGTAAATTGTATACTCAGCTATGGAGGGGCCAGCAGGAGCTAAAACCTAGCCAGGGCTGTGTGTGCCAAACCCTGTGCCTTATAGGCTGCCTGAGGAAAGATACTCTTTCCTAATTGGTCATTCCAGAGAAGGCACCCTTTTTAAATTTGGAGATGTACCTTTCTCCAAAGCTCCCAGAGGTGGCCCTGTGGGGGTGGCCCTGCAGAGGAGGCTTGTGGGCAGTGGCTGGGCCTCCCTGAGGAGCAGAGCCCAGCAGCACAGAGCTGAAGAGCAGGCCAAGGCTCATGGCATCAGGGATTCTGGAGAAGCCAGGACACCATGTACACGCCTCATGCCATTTGTGTGACACTGGACCCGTAGTGACATGCACACATCTTGACAAGTGGAGTCCCAGTCAGGTATCCAGGCCACAAAGTAGGGAATAAGCACAGATCCAGGTCCCAAGCTGAAAGACAGGTCAGAAAAGCTGGCTTGAGACTCCTGAAATGCTTCAAGTCCACAAATAAGATTAGACCTCAGATCTGGGGTAGGGGCCGAGCCCCTTAGTTAGGCTAAATGATAGTCGCTGGAACAGAATGGGGGTAGGGAGAGGCAAATAGTCATTTCATTCATCATAATTTATAAACATAACTTTCCTCCTTGCTTTAGGGACTGTATTTGAGGCTTTAAGAAATCCATAGGCTTCCATTCAATGCAAATAATTCAATGAGAAGAAGAGGGTTAAAGATGCCCAGAGGAGATCCCTGAAGTCACAGGAAGTTAAAAGGCTCAGGACCAAGACTTTGCCCCAAGTTGTAGTGAATGATGCTATGAGTTAGCTCTTCTACCAGTTCTATCCCTGAACTTGGTAGTGGGAGGATGGCCAACTTATTCCATTTTCCAGGGACTTCCTTAGATTTATCGTTGAAAGTTCCATGTCCCTGGGCCTGCTCTGTCTCAGGCAAACACAGATTGTACGTCACCCTCCAAATCAGACTCATGAGTCATTAGCTCTACTTCTCTTTTCACTGCATTTACCCCACAAAGCAGGGAAGAAACAACAAGGACCTGAGAGCTTAAGGAGTGACCCAGACTTCTGGAAGTAATGAAAGACCCTGGAGATGTCCATTCAGTTAGCAGCAAAGTGAAGTGCCGGCTAAGAACCCAGAAGTCTCCAGAATAGGACTGACTGAGAAATAAAGGGGGAAAGTTGACCTGTTTAAAATAGGAAACAGCAGAAGTAAGAATATAAACTGTTAATGCAATTCTGCTCTCTCATCTGAACACTCTTTTTTTCTTTATAATTAACAATAGTTTGCTTCTTATTAAAAATAAATTTCTATTATAACTATTCTAAAAATTACATCTTAATTTCCTTCTTCAAAAGTTTAAGAAATCTGTAGCACAACAGGAGAACTCAAGTTTAGGAAGCCCTAATTTAGCCTCCTGAAGATTAGACTCTCCAGCAAGATACCAGAGTAGTACCATCACCACCTTTTATGCCTGGGATGACTCCAGGGATGTCTGAACACACTCAGCATTTTCCTCATAAGGTGTGATTCCTCCTCATCACTTAGGGGTGACCTGCATACCATAGGAATCTTTCCACGAGTCTATTTTCTCAGATAAATGACAATCTTCTGAAGAATATTTTCCTTAAATATTAAGTAAATCTTCCTCAGGAGACTTTCAGGCCCTTTCTCATCAACATGACGGTCATGAATGACACCATACTACAAGCACCAGCCTCTTAGGCTTTTCTCAGTGCTCTGGCGTTCGTTACCTCATCTCTGCCCACCCCACTCATCCCTGCTGCCAGCAGTCCTTCCTGAAGTGCTGTTGTTGCTTACCGAAGGACTTCTTTGTTTCGAAAGGAGAATCTTTTTGGATGTGAGTGGCTGAAGAGCACACTTCCATTTGCAGTTTTCTAACCTTCAGATTTAACGTGCAAAGCTTTCCCCATCGTGCCTTTAGAAAACAAATACTTCTTGAACTCTTATTATGTACCAGTCATGATTAAGGGCCAGAAAAGCAGCAGTAGATAATTCACTGAGCCAAGTCAAGAGGGGCAAGCAAATGAATAAATGAATAGGTAAATACATGTAGTAAGAAAGCCATTAAGAAAAATAAAACAGAGGAAGGTGTATATGTGTTTCTCATGGGTACATGTGCCTGCCTGCATGCACATGTGTGTGTCGGGAGGAAAGTTCAGATTAGGTGATCAGGAATGGCCTCTGTGATGGTATAATGTGTAAGCAAAAAACTGAATGAGGTCAGGGAGCCAGCTCTGAAAAGAGCGTTCTGGAAAGAGTGAAAGCAAGAACAAAGACCCAGGTCCTTATATGCCAGTACTATCAGCTGAGATGACAAGCTCCATCTTAGAGTTGGATTTTATTCTAACAGATCTGATCTGGCAAGTTACAGCATCTCCCTAATGGTTTAAAACATCACTCCGCTGTTGTATGTAGAGATCTGACTGACATGGGGGCAAGATTAAAGGCAGATAGATGTTTCAGTAGACTATTATCATAATGCAGGTGAGAGATGACAGTATTTCAAATTAGGGTGGTAATAAAAGTAGTAAAAAGCAGTAGATTCAAATATATACATAAGTGGTAAAATATACATAACATAAAATTTACTATTTTAATATTTTTAAGTATGCAGTTTAGTGTGTGAAATACATTTACATTGTTGTATAATCATCACCACTATCTATCCTCAGAAATTTTCATCATTCCAAACTGAAACTCTATATGTATTAAACACTAGCTCCTCTTTATTCTCTCTCTCCAGTCCCTGCTAACCATGATTCAACTTTATATCTTTATGAATTTGCCTGTTCTAGACTCATCATATATGTAGAATCATACAATATTGGTCCTAAGATATATTTTGAAGGTAGAGCTTAAGAAGAGTTGCTATAAATTGAGTATTCAGGATAAAGAATAGACACATCAAGGTTATTGCACAGTCATCCTTACAAACACCAGCGTATTCTTAAAGAACAGGGCTAGTGGGAGCCCCTAATGAGTAAGTTTTTACAGAAAGAAAAGGGAGTTGAAAACCAGTCTCAGGGGAGGTGAGACAAAGTTCTTGAGGAGGAGGGAGATGTTGAGATTCAGTGCACAAATGGAGAATGTGGCCCTCGATAGGTCAGGGGAGTTGCATCCTGGGTGAAGGCAGAGTTTATGGGCACAGATGTGGATGGGATGGAATATTTTCTACTGGGAAGTTTGGGTAGTTCTCTATAGATGCCTTCTGTATCTAAAGAAAATAATATAGGAGATCATTGGCTAAGAGTGTGAAAGGGGAAGAGGTATAGAAGATTAGGGAGGAAAAAAAGAGAAAA